GGCAAAACGCTCTATCGAGAACATATTAGATCATCAGCCGCGACCCGATCTCCTTTTCGCAATTCGAGCTTTATTTTATGTACCGTCTGACGACACCGGGAAAAGATACGAGGCCGACTCGGCCGGCATATAGATATACGCGGGAATGAGCGCACAGAAGCCGCGTACGTGCACTGGAATATTGATCCACCCTTTATCGTAGCAATAAAGCACGCCGGCACCGTAGGAGCACGGAGGAGGGATACGTTACGCGAAAAGTCGTATTATCTCACGATGCACGACTGGAATCGTCCGACTGACGAGTGCGAATGAAGTACCGCGCACTGGCGCAACGTTTGCAAGCTATATTTCTCGCGCCTTTTTTTCCCCTGCGGTTCTTTGTGCAATTTTTTTTTTCAAATTGATTTTCCGCGAGGTGTGAATTACAATTAATTGTAAACGTCGAAAAAAAAAACAGAATATCTAATGACCTTAGAAAGGTTCTGATTATAAAGCTTGCAAATTGGAATGAATTATCGAAGGGATCAGTATATCTATTAGCGTTTTGTTGGCCCATGTGAGATACAATACGACAATTTGTCCTGCAGAATATATCGTTTCAGTTAACGCGAGCCTCGTATAATCCGATTGGCGGGACTAACGAGCGCAATGCGTCGCTGCAAAAAGCGCGGAAATTCCACGACGGAAAGTTTTAACGATGTAGCCGTGGGAATGTGCGGAAGTTACGGATGAGCCGCGAATCAAAGAGGACACGCACGCACCAAATAACGTGTACGGTAGAGACTGTATTACGCCCGAGCGCGAAATCGGTACATAATAATTACATAATCATGTTAAGCCTTGTCTTGCAAGCACACGAGAAATTTGCAAATGTGCATGCAATAATGATGAAATTATTATAAAATTTTACACGTGTGCGTTAATTGTGCTTTATATACAGCGGGACTAAGATACCTTTCAGAGCAGTTTCGAAAAAACATCTTATATCTGAACATTAAAAAGTGGATTAATTGAAATCGCTATTTGGAACGAGAAATAATAATGATTTCCTCGATATCAATTCGACGCCAATCTTGACCGACATTATACAAGAGCTCGTGCATAATGCCCCCGGAGTCTTTTCAGAAAGCTGCAAAAGCGCCGTCTTCTGCTTCAGTTGCTTTTAGAAATTTATACCGAATTTATTCTGCTGCTAAGCGACTTTTAATGCTACATACAATCGGACGCGGTCGGAATTGCTCTTAAGAAACGGAGACACTTTCAACGTCCAGCTGTATTCCTCTCCGCGAGTGGTAACACAAGTGTTTTTTAATCGCCGAGGAAAAATTCGATAAGCACTGCGGCGCGCGGCTGGTGACTCTTTTCCCCCGGTATCGATCGCGTCTCGATCGTCCTACTTTTCCCGCGGGCACGGTCTAGACGAGTAAATTGCGTTGTCGACGCGCGCGTTTAATTGCGCGCTCAGCCCGGGGATCAGCGTCGGTCAAATTCGCAATCGAGTCTATGTGATACGATTGATAAAATAACAGATCGCTCGGTTGAATGCTCGTTTAGTAGAAATGCCAAACTTAATAGCGGATATCGGAGGATATCTGTTAATTCGGTCTATTCCGTTTCAGAATATATTATGAACTATTCTTTTCTCGATACTTTAGTACACTTCGATTACGATCCTTCGCGAAAAATGAAACCTATAATTCTTGTCTTGTAGATATTGTAAAACGGAGTTCTACAGAGTGTACGCAGTTATTATTAAACAATAAAGTTGTAAGCAACAGAACGTAGGTATTCGAAAGTAAATTTTAAAATAAGTTGTGCCTCCTCTTGAATAAATAGGAAACGAAAGTCAAAGTCCTGGAAATAGCATTTATTAAAGTAAATATACGGCGATGTATAATTTACATAGGAATCTCTCTATTGAAAGATAGATTAAGATTGCAAATCTCGCACTAATTACTTCTAATAATCTATCGTTTCCTACTTACACAAGAAATGGCGTAATTATCTTTCTTGTCTTGTCTTCGTATTAGAAAATCTAGCTATAAGTGAACGGATGGGAGAGAGTGACAATCCTTGCAAATTTGCAACCGTACACAGAAGAAACAGTGTGTCCCCGTATTGGCACAACCGGATGCGTGTGGCTAACATGTCTCTCGTTTTTTTTTTCCATGTGTCATGATGTGCCGATTTTTGTCGCGATATTTTATACCTTTCCCACGTGTGTCGAGTAGTGACGCTCTGTGTTTCGTAAAAGAGAGAACAAGCTAGAGAAACAAACAGCTAGAATCCACAACCGGCGTATCGACAACAGTTTCGTAATCGTGGCTTTAGCGTTCTGCAAATTCGGCTGCTGAATATTGCAAATGGCAAAAAACGAGGCGCGACTGACCGGAAGCGGATATTCGCTCCCTTCGGCGTGTGTATCGCGATCGAGGCATCCTTTGGACCTTCAACATATCGTTTTCTCTTTGTCGAAGCGAGGATCGGAGAGATTATGTCTTTTTCATATTTTTTCTTGACGAGTCTCTTGCAATACAAGTTTTTATCCACGTGATAAATCATTCGCGATTATTATTATAATTGTCATATATTTACGAAATATAATAAAATTGTAATGATCCCAAAAAGCAGATGTGGCAGCATTTGTTAAAATGAGAAGCAGCCAAATACTAAATTGAATGCATCGATTGTCGAAAATGACAGAACAATAAACAATTCCTCACTTAATAATTGCGTGAGAAATTTTGCACCTTGTTTTTTTACTTAATAGCCTCTGCAACAAAACAATTTATCCTTTCCATAATTAAAAATTACAGAATCAATTTACTGTGTATCGATTTATGTTATTTAAGACACAAGCGATACCAATGACACACACGCGTAAAATGTTGCAACCGTGTCGTCGGCGAGATGAATGATTATCGATAGCTTTTCTTATCTCGATCACTGCGTCTTTCCAATCACGCAATTAATTCGCAGTGCAACAGGATATATACCGCTTAACAAACGTTGACGGTGCGATCCCGTTCGACGGTGTAACGGTAAATCTCTCGAATCGCTCGGTACGCGCACTCCATTACGGTCTGACATAGTGGACATCGGATAAGCTCGTCGATCCTCGCCTAGACAGCAAACACGAGCCGCAACTGACGGATGCGTTTTGAGGTGACTCGCGCGAGCCCGCCGATTTCTCGAACACACCGTAGAAACGATATGAAAATGAGCCGACCGCGCGTCGTAACCACGATGGAATGATATGGTCAATAAAATAACACTGCAGTCCACACCACGTAACAATATCCAAATATATGCACACATATATAGGGTGTCCCAGCTGCCCCATATTCTTGTTTTTATACTACGAATTTCTCGACCAATTTGGAGTAGATCTCATCGGGAACTTCAAAGTACTAACAGAGTTATATTAAAAAAAAGCAAGTACTCTATCGTGCGCATGCGCAAACATTGAGTTCACACTTCATTTGATTCCAATAATCTTTTTTTAAAAGATATTCATACAAATGTTTTCTAAATAGAAATTCAAGCTCCAAATTGATAAAGAAATATATATATATATATACTTATATATATGTATATACGCGGCAGGGAATGCAGAGTATCCGGCGCACCCTGTATACATGCGTAGACGGATGAAATATATAAATATATACGTATATAATATATCACGTGACGTCCAAGATTAGCGCATCGCAGGAACGATTACGGGTGTCAAGGAGGCATTCTTTGACAAAGAGAACACAAAATGGAAAAAACACGAGCTAAAGGATAACGTTAGAGTAGACCGATGATGAGCAAGTATCTCGAGACTATAATGCTTGGAGACTGCGGTTTTTCTGCGTGCTCGTTGCGTTGTGGTAAATGCGGCACCTTAAAGCCGTCATAGGTCCAGGAGCCTAACTTCAAAACACAGGTCTGTACGTCGTACGGAAAGAACTCAACGTCGATGGAGCAGGAGGATTTATATACGGCCGGCGGTTGCCACACGACCAATCCCGAATTGTAGACCGTGGCCTTGGTCATCAGCGTCACCTCGTAGTTCCCATCGGCGCTGGAATCACCGAAGAAACGAGCCGAGCGTGATCACGATTGGCTCGGAGAGAAGGTCTCCGGATGCTGCCATCCCTTTCCCTATCCTCGCCCTCTTTCTCCCCCCTTTCACCATCCCACGCACTATCTCGCTTTATCGTTTCTGTCTTTTCCTCGATATCGACTTCACGTGTGTATATACCGGCCAAAGTGAATCTTGCTCACGTTCTCACACGGTTATCGTGATACTTTCACTGCTCTGACCGAAAACGTTTCGTCCGATTGTCCAGAGAAGAGAAACGGAAATCCGATACATCTGACTGACTCGCGACATCGATAACTTCGGAAATATCGCGGATTCGCGTTTCAACCTCCACTTGAGAGAGACACTGGGGTAAACGACAATTGACTTTGCCTTTGATAGAAGTAAAAATCGCGGCGGTCAAACGCCTTCTCCTCGAAAGCAGGATTTTAATCAAAAAGATAAAAGATTGATTGATTCTATCGTTCTGGAAAAATACTCGACTGGAAATCATTAGTTCGTGCTTGTGATTCATTACGATTCACTGCTTGCACATAATAAACGCGATTGTGTCATCTCATGGGTTATTATATGGCAGCATCCGTCTTCCGGGGGAGGGGGATGGTTTTCGGAACTCGTGGTTTCTCCCTTTCGATCGTGTGTCGGAGACCCACGCGACGAGCCAATCGTCTGTGATCTAGTCTACGCTTAGGATCTATTTTGATGGCCGTCCCGGAGACGCATCCCGGTACGGAGTCGTGTCGGATCCGCGTCTCGGACGTTCGGCGGGCTAATTGGCGGGGGAGAGGTGTGCTCAGTTAATTCGTTCGAGGGGGGGGCTCGAGAGGATCTGTCGAGGAATTTGCAGGGGGAGGGGCGGAGGTGGGTGGGTGAGGAGGAGCACGACTTAACGGCTACCATGCGAATTTACCTTGAAGCCGTCATAGGTCCACGAACCGAACTTGAGGACGCAGGTCTGCTCGTCGAATGGGAAGTACTCCACGTCGATCTCGCAGGATGACTTATATATGGCCGGCGGCTTCCACTCGACCAATCCTTGATGGTAGATCGTGGCCTTCGTGGCCAAGGTCACCTCGAAGTTGCCGTCCGCGCTGCGAGCGAGCACATTAGTGGTTCTGGGCGCTGCGGCGGTCGAGCTTACTTTGTACTTCCGATTCGATACCAAGCCGTCTTTTTTTTTTCTTTTTTTTTTTTTAATTTATTTCAGTACGTGTATGTATGTGTATACGTGTGCGTTTCAAATGTGATTGACGATGTACCTCTTAAATAAGCAAGACAGAGATCTTACTTGGGACGTAACAAATCTGTTAGTTTTTCAGACGTTTGATCAGCAATCGAGAATAAAATGGATCCGCGTAAATAAAAGTGATCTTTTCAAGAACCGGCGCAACCTTAACTCGGATATAGGAATTATCTGGCTCGGAGCGTTCGCAAAATCGGATTAGGTTTATCGCACAGGCTCTTATTTCGATCCACTAAGCCCTGAGGGGGCACCTCGATAATCTGGCTTTGCAACTAGTTAATAGAAAATCTGGCAATCTTGGTTGTTTTTCCTATTATCCTATCCATAATTAGGATAAAGAAAAAAAAATCTTACTTTGACGTTAAGAGATATTTGTGCATCTCAGTGTTTCTCATCAGTGTTAATGATTAATGGAATCTAAAAAAAAACGATCCTTTTTCATTTACAACTAAAAATGTGCACTCCTGAATACACGGATAACATCCATAATAGACTATGTCCGTCATTATCGGATTATCTCACACCAACTATCTTACACCACCACTGTCAATCCTATATTTGTGAAATTGGATGGCTTAGCAAAGTTTCTAAATTGAAGAACCAACGGACGCTAGCCCGATATAACAGAGATATATAGATATCCGCGGTCGATAGCAACCCGTTTACTGTCGAGGGTCGCATCGGGCCACGTGGGATTGCGAAGTAAACTAAAGCACGATGGTCGAGTTTCCCGGAGTCGAGGAGAGAATCCGGGTGGCACTAAGTCATCGTGGATGACCGCAGTGCACCCCGGGATTATTTTGCTATTGGCTTCCTTTCGTCCCTCACGAACTATCTTCGGACCCGAAAGTTACGATCAAGTCAAAAAGTGTAGATCACTAACTTGAGCTTCTCTAAAGCCGGCAAAGAGGAGGAGAATTGTCGCGAAAATGCGGCGGAAATGCATTTTACATTCAATGATCGTGTCTTATTTGAAATGTGCATATGAAAGAAATTGTTATCTTTACTTAACTTGTCTGTTAATAGTTTTTGTCTATTTAACATGGATATATCATGAACAAAATTTTTTGCAATGCAATTGTATATTAAGTTCTTTATGTCTGTAATGGACCTCGAACTGCAATAAAAAGAAATATAAAACAGATTTTTATGATGTAATATTAATAATTCAACATGAACGTAATAAAAGATGTAATAAAAATAAGTAGAAATGAAAAAAGAGTTATATAAGATTTTTTGCCCTTTCAGACAATTCTATATAATTACTTGCTATCTGTATAACAATTTTATAAAAGTTCTATTTAAAAAATTAAATTAGTTGCTGTCTGTGTAACAATTTTATAAAAGTTCTATTTAATAAAAATAAAAGTCTCACATTTAAATTTCATTAGATCACACAGTTCTCATACGATACGAGCGACGATAAATCAACCCTTTCACGCCGCTCAACTTTCCACTGATATGACTTCGCGTAAAGACAGCTTTGATTGCATTGACTCTGGCGTATTGGCAAGATATTTCTCGATCTCGAATGCGTCGCCAATATAACCCCAGCTTTCGCCCGTATAACCCCCAGGGGAGACGTGAACTGCATTAATAATCCAACCGTAACCTGCCTTGGCGTACAGTTTACTCGGCCGACTTATCTACTATATGTGGGCACGGAACTTTGTTGAGCATTCGACATAAACCAAACAGGCGTGGGTTTATTCGTACAAAGGGAATGAATGTACGAATCGCGTCGCGCGCTTTACGTTCGCGCACAATCACGGTCCGAAAGCTTTCAATCTCGTGTAAACACGAGGCGGCCACTTGGCAGATATTAACCGAGTTTGTTACTCGCACGACAACACATTGCAACACGACGAGGCTCGAAATAAGATTCGCCCGAAGCGAGATGCAATGCCAGCGCGATGAAAGTGTTTACGAGCGACAAATCAACGTACGTTTAATTAATAAACGTTGCTTATCGACTTTAATTCTGGCGCCACATCTGTCGAGAGAGTGTTATCCGTCTGCCTTTTTCTAGACATTTTCGTATGAAATGTAAAAGTTTAGTCCGTTTTATTGTACAGTTCGTCATTGCAGCTATCGCGCCTCTGATACCTGCAGCATTTTAGTTTATCCTCCGCTCGGGAAAAATGCATCTCGTCCGCGCACGCGAGGATATATTTTTCCTCTCCCTTCGCATCATTCGTATGAAGTATCACAGATCTACGTGCAAATGCACAGATGCTTCCCCATCCTACGTGTCTCGAATTTCGGTCGGAGAGCGTAGCAGCCGGGTTTCCCCTTTACATGGCACGTGGTTTAAAAACGGCGACATCAAGAAAGAGACCGAGGTGCAAGTTCGCCCCGTAAGAATCGTGCGAAGAGTCTTAATCGGAGCAACCTATCTCTCTCTCTCTCTCTCTCTCTCATCTCTCTCGATTGCGCTGCATCGTCGAGAAGGGATATTCTCTTAAGGGGTCTTCGAGAGACGTAAGGGTCAATCATCAAGCACGAGATCTGATGAGATACATCATTTCGCGGAGTATCGGACTACGATATGAAGCAACGTGTGTATGTGTGTTGCCCATTGTTGCGTGAATCCCTCGCTTTCTGAAATCAATTTACGCCCTGGTGGAGATTCACAAAGCTATCGATTTGTCTGACGGCTGTTCAAAAGATGTGGAAAGGACGACGGCATCATTAGAGCCAATCACCGGAATATCGTACATTGTTCCTCGTACAATTACAATTTTGTAAGCGCGTATGTTGCCGAACTTACACTAACGATTGATTTTTTAATCGATTTTAATACCAACATCTAAAAAAATTAATTATTTCAAATTAAAATTGTAAGAGATAAATTTTAAAATACAAAAAAATAATTGTGCATCAAATATGTATTTATATAATATAATTATTTCACTTAAATAATGGACCGAGTATAAATTTCGATAATATCAATATGAATTTATTAGCTACACATATCTCTTATTTTTAATTTTCTGCTTGAAATTTCGAGAATGATTGAACCGATTGCAAGCGACATCACGCTGTAAAGCCATTTGTTCAAGATCAAAAACGATAGATTCCGATTCTTGTTAATTCGGATCAAGTGCCACTGCACATTTCGATTTCGAGCCTTACACGAGCGTTATCCCGCCGCGCTTGGCAATTTGCATACGCCCGCCTGTCCTTCTCTATTTCGGAGGTTCAAACGCGAAATCACAATTCCCTGCCGCGAAAATCCCCCCCCCCCCCTCCCCGATGATTCTCGATGAAGGTTCACGTGGGAATGTATGTGTCGCGGTGAAAGCCTTTTTCACGAGGTGTGCTCGTGAAAATAGCGCTTCTCGCATTACCTATCAGCCGCAAAGTGATATGATACCGCGCGCGTTTAGGTATGTGATATATTATATATCGAATGCCCCAGATTCTTTTCCTTTTAATGGCAGATGCTTGAGGTTAAAGTAAGAAAGATGAGAAATGGCCATTTCAAAGTGAAGGGACGGACAGCTTTTCATAGTTTACGCTTTTGGAGAACGATTTAAAAATGTGTAATAAATAATAAAATATTATAGTAGTTATTAAAAATTTAAATTTTAGTTAATTTAATGTTTAAAATCGTGGAACTGTGAAGAAGGAATAGGATAAACTACTGCAACACACATAAATTCTTTATCGAGGAAAAAATTTCGCATTTGTCAAAAAATACAATTATCAAAAAATACAATTATCAAAGGAAATGATTAAAATTGCAATTATTGCGTATTATATAAAAGGTAGAAACTGCTGCGTGGATAAATCGTTTCGGTGTTAAAAGATGTTCGAACGGTGTTACTATTAGCGTGCAAATCGTTCAGCCTAAAACGCTTCCACGGCACGTCGATGGCGGCGGCGGCGCCGTCCTCATTTTCTGGTACACCGGATACGGGCAAAAAAAACTCGCGTATCGCACACGGGAAATAATCGACGAATCGAAACGAGTCGTAGTGAGAGAGGAGCCGTCGACGGCGAAATGAAAAATTGCTTGTACCGGGGAGGGCAGTCTGTCGAGGTCTCCATTATCAGGAAAGGTGCAGGCATCGATATTTCATGGAATTAACCGGCAGCGGCCAGATACAGCGGCTCCGACGCAGCTGAAAAATAGCCCTGCCCTTACCGTTTCCGTTCGGAAAAGCGCCCTGACGTGCAATACAACCGAGAAAATTCTATCAAGAACCGCCGAACGGAATTCCGGTGTTATGTAATGATCCTAGATAAGCTCGGAGATTAATCGCGAATTCCCGCGCTCTCGTACGATCGTAAATGGATATCCTTTTCACTTTTTTCCTCCTCTCTTACCTTCGCTTATGTGATATTAAAAAAAAAAAATTATAAACGCAAGTTACAGCATTCTAGTTAACTGAAGGATAGCGAATCTTCCTACCGCCATGATAGTGCATATGTTCGCGTAACGTCGAGTCACTGTAGCCGTGAAGATGATCAGTGGCCTCGGAAGCCTGCATCCAATGTGTGCCAGACCCAAATCCAACCCCCGCGATATTCATCATCCCTCATCCTCCGCCGATACATCGACTAGCAGTTTCTGGCCGACGTTGGTCGGGGTCTCTCCCCCGCGAATATATACTTTATTCGCTTCCATCCGCTCTACTTCGGACCGTCGAGATTTTCCGCAAGCTGTGAGTGGGAAAAGCGGCGCGCGAGGCCGCCGATCATAAATCATCTCGCTCAATAGAAAGCTCCCGCGCGCGCGTTTGTCGTTCTCTCGCCGACCGGTCGCGGCAATTTATTTAGCCGGATACTTCGCTGTCCTATAACAGCGGCAGCGCCGTGATAGGATTAACCGCACACCGCCCG